CAAAAAAGTCGGGAAGCTCTGCAAAATGTAAATAAAAACAAAATGCAATGATGTACAAATCATGTAAATCATATATTTTTTTTTTTAATATTTGCCCATTTTGAATTTGATGCCAAAAACACGCTCCAAAAAAGTTGGGAAGGGGGCAACAAAAGGCTGGTATATTTGTGTACTGCTAAAAAACCACACCCGGTCGTTGATTGACAACAGGTCGGTAACATGAGTGGGTATAAAAAAGCTTCCCAGAGAGGCGGAGTCTTTCAGAAGTAAAGTTTGCTGACGACACTACAGTCATCGGCAACATCACCAACGATGATGAGGGAGCATACAGGGAAGAAGTGAAGCTCCTCGCTGAATGGTGCACTGCCAACAACCTCTCCCTCAACGTCAGCAAAACCAAGGAGCTGATTGTTGACTTCAGGCGGGGGAGCAGAGTGCATGCACCGCTGAGCATCGAGGGGACGACGGTGGAGAGAGTGAGCAGCTTCAAGTTCCTCGGGGTCCACATTTCTGAGGATCTCACCTGGTCACTGAACACATCCCACATTATCAGGAAAGCACAGCAACGGCTCCACTTCCTCCGACGGCTGAAGAGAGTCAACCTGCCACAACAGCTTCTCTGCAACTTCTACAGATCCACTGTGGAGAGCATTCTGAGCAGCTGCATCACAGTCTGGTACGGCAGTGCCACTGCTGCTGAACACAAGGCCCTGCAGAGAGTGGTGAAAACTGCCCAGCGCATCACCGCGGCTGCCCTCCCACCCATGCAGGACCTTTACAGCAAGAGATGTCTGAGGAAGGCCCTCTGCATCTCCTCCGACCCCACACACCCCAGCCACCCGCTGTTCAAGCCTCTGCCATCTAGAAGGAGGTACAGGAACATCAGAGCCAGAACCACCAGACTCAGAAATAGCTTTTTCCCCCGTGCTGTTAAACTGGTGTCACCAGCTACACTACCCTCAACCTGAACTCATACAGACTGACCTCTGTTCACACTACTTCACACCAACCTCAACCTGATTAACAGACTGACCTCTGTCCTCCCCCTACTATCCCTCAGATCGCCATCAGCTCAGAGACTGTATGCACCATGCACTTTAACCCATAGTTTGTTGCTCCCTGCCCTCTACATACCCTATTGCACCTACTGTTATATTAACAGTGTTAAAGTACCAGCACACCTACTGCAGTGTATATACTTGTATTTATTTTCTGTATTTATTGTTCTATGTCCCTGCACTATGTCCTGTCTTGCACTATGTCCTGTCCTGCACTATGTCCTGTCTTGCACTATGTCCTGTCCTGCACTATGTTGTCTGTAATTGCACTGGAGATCTAGCCTAAAAGTGTTTCGTTGTACTGTACAACCCTGTTTCAGTATAATGACAATAAAGTTGAATTGAATTGAATATGGAGGGGTTCACCACTCTGTGAAAAACTGCACGATCAAATTGTGCAACAAATCAAGAAAAACATTTCTCATCATATAATAGCAAAGAACTTTTGTTTTTCATCATCTACGATACATAATATCATTAAAAGATTCAGAGAATCTGGAGAAATCTCTGTGTACAAGGGACAAGGCCAAAAAACAGTATTTGCTGGCCGTGATCTTTAGGCCCTCAGGTGGCACTGCAATTGCAACAGCAATTGGTCTCCTTAGTTCCAAAATTGAGTGTTGTTAAAAGAAGAGGTAATGAGACACAGTGGTAAATATGACCCCGTCCCAACTTTTTTGGATTGTGTTGCTGGCATCAAATTTAAAATGGGCATATATTTTTCAAAAAACAATAAAATTTCTCACTTTGAACATTTGATATGTTGTCTTTCTAGTATTTTCCTTTTATGGTTTACATGATTTGCACATCATTGCATTCTATTTTTATTGACATTCTGCACAGTGTCCCATCTTTTTTTGGAAATTGGGGTTGTATTTTAGTTCAGTTACATTAATAAAAATATCTGACAAATTGATTTCATTTCTGCCAGAGGAGTGGCCTCTAGGAGGCCTGCCAAAAAGGATTAACCTGAAGATGTAATAATGCACAATTCATCCTTCCTTATTCTCATGCACAGGGGAGAGCAGGGCAGGCTAACATGTAACACTGATATTTTATGTAGTTAAACAGGTTCAGTTAGTATAACGTGCTTTAGTTCATATTCTTGTTTTAGATTACCAACATTATATGCACATTTGACAGCAATTGGACAGATATTACCCTGATTTACCCTAAAGACTTTTACCATCAGTATGTCAAGTCCATCTGTACAAGGCTCTAGACTTTTGGGGGACTTAGCACATTTTTTGGGGGAGGCTCCCATCTTACCAGCTGATGTACTATAAAATTAGCAGCTATAATAATGACATAAACTGCTTAAATTGTTATTATACCCAGGGGTCTGTCTCACCAGGCACTTGCAGAGGAGAATTAATTAGAGCCTGAGTATCTAAACCTTGACTAATCATAGCCTGAGTTTCTAAACCTGGATTAATCACAGTCTGAGTATCTAAACCTGGATTGATCACAACCTGAGTATCTAGACCTGGATTAATCACAGCCTGAGTATCTAAACCTGGATTAATCACAGCCTGAGTACCTAAACCTGAATTAATCACAGTCTGAGTATCTAAACCTGAATTAATCACAGTCTGAGTATCTAAACCTGGATTAATTACAGTCTGAGTACCTAAACCTGGATTAATTACAGCCTGAGTATCTAAACATAGATTAATTACAGTCTGAGTACCTAAACCTGGATTAATCAAAGCCTGAGTATCTAAACCTGGATTAATCACAGCCTGAGTATCTAAACGTAGATTAATCACAGCCTGAGTATCTAAACGTAGATTAATCACAGCCTGAGTATCTAAACGTAGATTAATCACAGCCTGAGTATCTAAACCTGGATTAATCACAGTCTGAGTATCTAAACCTGGATTAATCACAGTCTGAGTATCTGAACCTGGATTAACAGAGAAAGTTGTTATGTTGTGTGGGTTGTGTGTTTGTAGGTTTCCTGAAGCTGAAACATAGTCTGTCTTAGTTGAATCTGGTCATTAGACAGACCTCAGATTCACTACATCTTCTTGTCCAATTACAAGCAAAAACTAATTGTATAACATTAACAATACGAAAACCCCAAATATATCTTTATCTTTAAGCTTTTCCCTTATTTTCCCTTATTTTTCCCTTATCTTTTTTTGCTACAGATGCTTGCATTCTTTTTGAGACTTGACTGGCCAGTTGCTTTTCTCCCCCCTCGCTCGAGCATCTCACACAACATAACATTAAGGTAATAAAACAGAAATTGTTGCAGGTCCCTCAGCAGCTGCTTATGTTGCCTATTAGGTAGAGCCGGCACTGTGTCTGTAAAATTTCTTTAATAGCATCATGTCAAAGCATGTGAACAACTCAAAGTGTCAGCTAGTCAGGCTAAATTATAGCCTCTACATGTGGGGGTTCACACATGTGGACACTGTTACAACTAAGCCTACCAAAGTAAATAGTGAGAAAAATCCATAACTAGCTTTTTGAAACTTTTTATGCACAGATTCATCAAAAATGTACTAAGATTGAAATTTTACCATGCATGTTTTACCATCACCGACTGATACAACTAGCCCCATTCTCTGTAGTAACCTTGCCTATGGAATAAGTTATAATATTTGCACTCACACCACTTTACAATTAAAAAATGAATATTAACAAGAGTATATATATTAATAATAACAATAATCACAAATAAGAGCACATGAAGAATCATAGTAATACATCAAGGGCCTTAAAGACAGTCATATGACTTTGCCAGCCACATTCATGTCATTCTGGATCTGATTAGGCAGTTTTCCATGCTGTGACAGGGAGCCTGGGTTTTCAACTTGTGCTGACCACTGTTTAAGTGGTGTTTATGTTGGTTATGCCCTGAGGAGCAGTGTGCAAACCCTGTCCTAGAATATTACAGTTACAGTTTGTCTAATGACCCATATCAGGCACCACATACAAACTAGTGACAGAACTTGGAAAGGTTTTCGAGTAAGTCTGCCAACAAGAATAAAGGATTAGACATTAGACAGCAAGGGCTCTTTTCTTCTGGCAGTAAAAGGTTGCAGTAAAATGATACATGGGCTACTTTTAGAGCAAACTAGACATACCAGCCACAGCAGACAGTGCTTTGTCAGTGAACATGAATGCAGTCTACATGTATAAATTCACCAGCCTTTGAACATGACTGTAACAATTTATGCAAGAAGGAAAACGACTTCAAGAAAAGCTGTAAAAAGATATCTTTATCAAAAAATACACATATTGAAAAATGTACATCTTCCTGGTGTAACAGAAGGTTAAGCAATCACAGTAAGGTCATAGTCGTGATCAAGTCCAAAACTAAAAACACAGATACAACGACAAAACATCATCAACGAAAGCTTGTGTAGACAGAAAACAACACTGTGGTTCCAGATGGCTGCCATCGTTAAATGTGTTCCTGGGCACAAACATCTGAATGCAGCCTTTAGTGAAAGTTAACACATAAGCCTTAAACATACAGTACTGTTAAACATACAGTACTGTAACAAAAGTTCGAGATCACTCTCCATTTCTTTAATTTTCAGTCAAAAAAGCCATTAAGTACAAATTCACTTTCAATGGCAAGAAAAAAAGCTGAACAAAATGTAACAGAAAACTAAATATAATATCAAATAACATTAATATTTCAGTATTTATCTTCCATTATTTACTAAAATGCTCAGTTTTTCAAAGAAATCTGCAGGGATGTTTTTCCACACCTCCAAAGTTCAGTCTTAGAAGTTGGTTGTATTTTCTGCTTATCCAAATAATCCCAAACACAGTGAATGATGTTGAGGTCTGGACTCTGGGGTGGTCAGTCCATTGTTCAGCTTCTTTGTTTGATGTGTCCGTCTCCGTTTCTCACTGAGGTTCTTCTTGACAGTTACACATCCTTTCAGACCCATAGCTCTGAGTCGTCTTCTCACAGTGGAAGGATGGACAGAAACACCTGTGGATGTTTTCAGATCTGAAGCAGCTTGATTTTCTCCTCTCTCTCAAAGATGACAGCTTTAAGTACTGTTCTATACCTGTATCTGATGGGCACAGTTGTGGTGATCTACCAGATCCTGCAGGAGGTTGTTAGGATTGAATAGGTTGTACTTTATGGCTGTTTTGACTGGAGATTATATAAATTAAGGGTGGTCTTTTGCACAGTACTGTGCCTCATTATTGAAACAGTAAATCAGATATTGCATACCGATTCGGTTTTGTTTGTGTTATCAAATCCAACCTGATATGTTTTTTCTATCCACACAAATCCACCATATCCAACAGACAAACGCAAACGCTCAGTCACATTTTAAACTTTTGAAACAAAAGGCACATAATGCAAAGTATGTAAGTAAAATAAGAAAGCAAACACAGTGTGGATACAACACTATCAAACAGGAGCTCATCTGTCAAACAGTACATAAAGAGCTCCCTACTGTACTTCGGAGACACAAAGTGTTCTGAAATAATACGATTCATGAAAGAAAAGAAAAAGAACTGCACATCACCGTCTCATATTACCTGAAAAACAAGTTTGTAGATTGCAGTACACTGCAATTCAAAAATACTGTTGACCTCTTATCAGATAGCTTCATTAAGGAAAAAATTTCCATTGCAAGATCAGTTCCAGAAGTACTGGGGGTTTTCCACACTGTACATTATATAATACGGGCTAAATCCAAAATGCAAAGTAAAATAAAGAATAGCAGCATTTTAGGACTGACTTAGGGAAACGACTGTGCTTCATATAAACTTTACAGCATCCTTAATAAACTTTAAATAATGTGTAATACAGAACTACAGTCTTGACCAGCAACCTTTTCTTTGAAATCTTCCTCCTGAAATGGAACAGAATCCAACCCGGTGCTGTACAGAGCTTTTGTGTTTGGCACTTTGCATTATGAGAGCTGTCAGTACACTATTTTCCAGTGTGTAGGCTGTTCGCATTCTTTCTCAGAGTCACCACAGAAACGGTTATAGGTGGTTTTAGGGTCAAAGCCCAAGATCTCCCTTTCCTCATGGATCCGGAAGGAGAAGGTTGAAACTGAAGTTCCAATAAAATATCTGAAAAAGAAAAAAGGAAGAAATAAGGAAAATGTAAATCAGGGAAAAGTAGGAAAAGGACTGTGTCAATGATGCCAGATTATTAAGAGCTCATTTCCTATATTTTTCTAGTATTTTATTTTTTTCACACTTATAAACAACATAATTCACTTTTACATTACCTGCTTTCTAGCTTTCTCAGTTAGAATTAAACATGACGGGCTGGACTGACTGATGATGATTTTTAAATGGTAGAGCGAGCGAACCAATGCACACTCTCTCTACCATTTAAGATGATCTTAACACTAAGATGCTTTTGGAAAACTGTTTCTGTGCCTGTGGCTTCGAGACTGATATATGTAAATTACGTCTATTCTGATTGGCCTTGTATTATGTGAAACACTTACAATGTCAGTGTGAATGGGTGGGGCTAACTGCTGTAGGCCCAATAGGTGAATGAGTTGACTTCCATGACATCATAAAAAACAATTCATTAAAACAGCTTGTTTTTGCAGCTAAAGGTGCTCTTCCACCGCATGGTACCGACTCGACTCAACACGAGTCGCCGTTTTTTGATTTTCCATCAGGCAAAAGTTGGTATCTGGTACCTGGTTCTTTTTTGGTTTCCCAAGAGAGAACTGAGCCGATACCAAAAGGTGACCTAAAAACACTACAGACTACTGACTGGCAGACAGAATCATTAAGCATATACGGTAATGTTAGCTACCAGGTGAGTGTACCCTCTTATGTCGCCTTGTTTGAGCAACCAGAATCGTCTCGTCGTTTGAACTCTGATGTAGTATTTTGTCTCCTTCACGTCTCGGCGGTTTTATTTGGTGTTACTATGATGACCAGCTACACAGAAGGGGGATTATGTCTTCAGCGGAAGCTGAAGTAGCCGGCACCAAAAGCAAGTCGAGTTGAGTCGAGCCGGTACTATGCAGTGGAAAAGCAGCTTGGACTGTATGGACTGGAGAGTCAACAGTACATTTTAAATTTTTACTTACTACATTAAACCCTTTTATATCAAAACAGTGAGAAATTTTTTGTTGGGCCCTTTAAAAACCTACACAATTTACCAAAGCAGTGGACACCAATCTTTTCTGGCAGTAGGTTTACATTCCAATCAAGCAGAAGCACATCTGATTCCTCTTAATCAGTCGGTCTCAGTCTTCAACTAACTGTTTAGTTATATGAAGTGTGATTCTGCTTAAAATGAAAACCTACAGCCACACCTGCTCTTGGCAAATAAGACTGGTGATGCCTGTATTAAACTTATGCAACCAGAACGCGCCTCCACAACATGTGACAAAGTGTGCCGTAGGTTAGCCTATTGTAACAGGGCTTTGCGGGCCACGTTTTTCCAGTTCTGCATGGAAAGAATTTTGACCATTCAGACTTAAACACAGCAACCACACAGTAAACATTCTGAGTACAGTATTCAAACTGTCGGAGTTACAAATGACCAGCTGTAGTTTAAGCGAGATCATTCACTGACAATGACAAAATCCAAACTAGTATAAAAAGCAGTTTAGCCCCACTCGCTGTACTCAACTGTTCTGTAGAAAAACTGCCTCTAATATTCACTTTTTTGCATTTTATCAAAAACAGAATGAAGAAAGTCGAAAATTATTTGCAGTCATTGTCATTATCAGCTTTCATTACTGCTTCACCTCCTACCTTGAAATGGAAGGAAATGTATTTAATGAACCTGATAAAAGCAACTTAGTAATTATACTTAAAATTTGTACTGTAAATTTTTCTAGTTCCACCAGTCATACTGCCAAGGAGAGGGTCATTACTTTCTCAAAGAACAGGAAGATTTAGAGCCCAACATTGTCCACCTGCATTCCACCAGACCAAGTTGCGTAACTCCTGGAGTGTCATAGTGACAAGAATGTCCAGGTGTGGCAGTCTACCTGGAGTGGGCACAGATCCACTGATCTATGATGGCGACCCCTCCATCTTTCAGGAGCTCCAGGTCCTCCCAGCTAGGCTCGTACCGTACCATCTCCGGTAACATCTTCTTCAGCTTGGTCACCTCTGAAAGCAATCATTTAATTTTGATATAAAAGTAGTTCTAACATTTATAACTCATATAATACTGTGAAGAAACCGTCATAATATGCAAAGCAACCAGGTCTTCATTAAACAGGGAGGAAACTGCATATAATAGTGATCCTAGTCAGCAGTACATTCACTATAGGCCAAAAGCTTGAAAGCAGTGCTAACCTTTTTTAAAATAAAGCTTTGTTTTCAGCAGATAACAGACAGTAATATGTTTATTAACAGAGATGTATCCAAAGATGTTGATTCATACATATTTAACAAAATGTAGAATTTGAGACCAAATCCACCTGGATTAGCATGTCAGAGACGTAACATTTACAGTCGTATGCAAACGTTTGGGCACCCTCGGTCCAGTTACATGTCTTGTTGATTTTCTAAGTAAAAATAAGTTAACAAACCTCCACACAAGAGGAACACACTTCCACACATCTTCATGTACAATTACTGCTTATTTGCTGAATTTCACTTATTAAGAAAATAAAACAAATTGTGGCCTTTTATTTTATTTTTTTCCCGAATATGTTAAACTCTGTGTGTTACCAGCACTAAAATTCAATGCCATACTTGCAGATATTTTAACACCATAACCCAACGTCACCTAAACATTCTGCTCTTCTGGAATGTAATAAATACATCATCAAATATCAGTTTGAAATATCAGTGAAATCAAAACATGATTCCATTCCTGATGCCAATATTTTATTCAAAATACCAATATATGTTTTGAAGAACATCAATTTATATTTTTAAGAACAAAAGGGTTTGACTAAAAATCTGCAAGTGTACAACTAACAGATTCTTCTGGAGATTCTCGTGGTGAATTCTGTTACAGCTCTAAATAGATCCACCTGATACTCCCAATCCGAAGCCCCTGAAGGCTTCATCACCTCAATCATGTCTGTTACATTAGGAGTTTGTAAAAAACTGTAGTGTGTTTGTAATCATGTACACGTGTGTGGTTATAACGGCAGATCATATGTAAACATTTGTGTGAGGAGTGGCAATAAAGAGGAAAGTCATTAAGAGAAGTGTTCAACAATAAAAAAAACTTTATGACTGGTGACTAATCAAATACAACTGACTTAAAGTACCAATTCTGATTTATTACAGCTAGCAGGCCAGTTTTAGGTACTGCAACATTGCAACAACAGTTTGAAAAATGAAAAGAACTTAAATATAGCATTTTCCTGCAAATTTAGTGCAAATTTAGTGCACAATTTTCTATTTAACTTTATGTGTTTCAAATATTGGAAAAAAAATTATACAATATGAATACAATACATACAATATGAAATGTGTCATAACTTTTGTACAGGACACATTTTATGTTTTATTTTATTTTATATGGGTGCAAATAAACAATAACTGTAGATAGAAATAGAGGTGTGTAACTTATTTTCACTAAGAAAACCAACAAAACATTGCATTTGACCAGGGGTGCTCAAACTTTTGCATATGACTGTATTTTACTGGGGGCAGCCATGGCCCTATTCTGGCCACCTGTATATCCTAGTTTCATAGATCCATATATATATATATATATATATATATATAAAGTTTTTGTCTTGGAAGCTGAGCCACAATAACAACCCCTTAGGGATTGAAAGTAACCTCTCAAACCCAAACTATCACTACTGCCCTCTCCGAGTCTGTTATACCTTCTTCATCAGCATCGGTGGCAACAAACACCTTCTCCAGCTTGTTCTTCTTCATAAGGCTGCGGATCTTTTTAACTGCTCCTTTCAGGCTGGGCACGTCCTCCCGATGGCCCCAGATAAAGTCCTTTCTGCGCAGGTGGACCCCCATGTACGGACCTCCCTTAGCACTGCCCAGCTTGGCCTGCCAGAGACAGTCAGTCAGTGGGCAGAATCTTTGACAGAATGTAACCTTATGATGTAAAACGAAATGTTGACTGGTGTTAAAGTCACATGACAAACATTCCAGGTGTACCTGGACACTCAAACCAGTGATTAACCCAACAAAAGTCAAACATCTATCTCGTGTAAGGTTACAGAGAACTGTTGTTTAAAAAGACATCCCCTATCATTCACCCTAAGTAAGCAAAACTATGTGTCAGTCCTGTTGCCTTTCAATGGAAACAGCTGTCTTTACTGTTACAAATCACAACCTAATCTCAACTTGTTTTACTTCTACACACCCTGCAGGCCGGGTGATGTACCTGAAGCATGTGAAAGAGTTTTTAGACATGCATCACATTGTCAAACATTTCAAATGTAACAGAAATCCTCCTGTGGCTCTGCTTTGCCCTAGTTTCTCCTAATCATCATGCACACCTGTGTCTTTTAGCCCCGCCTGTACAAGTAGCACTCTGTGGTTCTCTTTCATTCTGAAGACTTGCATATTTATTCCATGTTATATTTATTATATTTAAAATATCTGTGTTCCTGTGTACAATGTTTTTTCTGACCATCTGTGGATTTTCTATGATTGAAAAGCCTATGCCGTATCTGTCTTCCTGTTTCTTTAGCTCTGTCAAGGATTTTCCACGGTTTACTGTGAAAGACCAAGAAGCTTTGGAAAAGCCCCTCACTAAAATTTGACTCCTATGCGGGGAGGATTGATAACCACAGGTCAGTGTGTGTGTGATGTTCACCCTCATACGTGTCCAGTCCTCATTGTATGGGGTAAGGTCCTTCTCGTCAGTGGAGTTGAGATACTTAGCTCTGAACTGGTCCCCAATAATGCGCAGGTGCTTGGCAAACACCATACTGCGTCGAGTCTGAAAGACACAGCGGTTCTAAAACACTGACACAGGGGTTTCAAGCCATGGGAGAAAAAGAGGTCAGCTTTCCTGTTTATTCGAATACCATTTTTCACACAAGTAGCTTTTGCAATTATAACCTGAAAGGCACAAATGTGTTTAGAAAAAAATACATTTATATAATATTACATACATTTATATAATAATCTTCAATGGTCAGGACCACCACAAATCAGGTATTCTTTGGGCGGCAGATCATTCTTAGTACTGCAGTGTTGTGCTGAAACATGTGGATCAGTCACAGCAGTGCTGCTGGAGTTTTTAAACACTGTGTCCACTCACTGTCCACTCTATTAGACACTCCTACCTTGTCAGTCCACCTTGTAGATGTGAAGTCAGACATGAAAGCTCATCTGTTGCTGCACAGTTTGTGTTGGTCATCCTCTAGTCCTTTATCAGTGGTCACAGGAAGCTGTTGGCTGGATATTTTTTGGTTCACAGTCCAGCAGTGACACTGAGGTGTTTGAAAACTGCAGCAGCACTGCTGTTTCTGATCCATTCAAATCAGTGCAACACATACAACCATGCCAAGCTAACTGCTCTGTGGTGGTCCTGTGGGGGTCCTGAGTATTGAAGAGTAAGGGTAAAAGGGGCTAATAAAATGTGCAGAGGAACAAATGGACTACAGTCTGTAATTGTAGAACTACAAAGTGCACCTATATAGTAAGTGGAGCTGATAAAATGGACAATGAGCGTAGAAACAAGGAGGTGGTCATAATGAAGTGAAATGGTTAAAGAAACATAATGACATAAAACCACTACTTATTGTATTAATGTTATTTGCATTCACTCTAATATCAGTGTTTTTCTGAGTGTTTCTCTTATATTCTCCTTATATTCTCTAACTTATCTGCACTAGCTAGGGATATATTGTACACAACAAAGCACTATTGCGAGTCACTCTGGGTAAAAGTGTCTCTTAAATGCCATTAATATAAACGTAAATTAAGAAGGCAAACATAATTTATAAAAGGTCTTACACATACAGTGGTTCGTATGAAATGGAGTAATACAGCAGTGAACTTACATCCCAGTAGTCTTTTCCTGCATAGTGATCATGTAGGACAGTCTCAGCTCTGTCCAACAATACGGAGCTGTAGTAAAATGAAAGCACACATATGTATTACATTTTCTTCAGCAATTCTAAGGATTAACTGTTCCAAGGACCAGGAGCTAAAGCATCACAGCTTTTCAGAACAATCCTGAAAACACTTCTGTCATTAAAGATTCAGTTACATCAGAATTTTTAAACTTCAGGTAAAGAATACATGCTAAAATCTTAATGATATAAGCAACGGGGGGTCTACTTTAGACTTCCTTAAACTGACAAGCAGGTCTCCTCAGTGACTCACGTAGCTGTGATATTTTCCTGCAGGAAAGGCGCTAATATGGAGGCATGGCCCTGAGCAGATAAACAGGTCACATTGAGCGCGCGAGTCTCCTCGTAACCCCAGAACCAGCCTCTAGTGGGAGCAAGCAGAATGAATAGAGCATATCTGAGATACTGCATTTATATTTTGCATGTAATCACAGCACAAAATTCACAGAATTTATACAGGTAACATCTAAAAAGCTTTGAGCTGAAATGCTGCTTTACATTTCAAACAGCATGAACCATCAAAAACATGTGAAATACTTTACTTGAACCCTGCTACATAACACTGAAATAATAGCGCCATAAACACATCATAGCAGATGAAATATGCCCTCATAAGATGTCATAACAGATTTTGTTCGGTAATACAAGGGAGTCATGACCATTACCGGTAACTGTCATAATATATGCAAAAATATTTGAGGTCAAATCACTGGACAAAATCTGTCATGACAATTTTTGACAGAATATGGCATTGGCTATGACGCGCTTAGGGCATGGTTATGTCAATGTTATGTAGCACGGCTCCAGTAAAGTGATACCTAAACATGATTGTAAGGTTGCATGGCCACTGCGACCCTGCCAGTACCTGTAGTAGCCTTGTTTGTCTTTGGTGTACATGAGGCGGTCAATGCAGGGTCGCTCATCCACTTTTTCCTCCCATTTCCCCTCAGTCCAGCCTTCAGCGTAGTTCTGCAGCACTAGCACCTGATCAATGAAGGGCCCTCCAGACTCTAGAGCCATACACAGCATCAACATACAGCATACAGACAAAGAATGCATACAAACACAAAAAGAAGACAAACAGACAGAGAAGCACATACAAACTTTAAGAAAAAATGCGAATGGACCACAATAATAATGAAGAGAACTGCATATGATAAGTTATCGTGAACAGCTGTCTTCTTGCTTGCCAACCACAACGACGTAATCAGACATGGACCTAACCTGCAATGAACTCTTCATATTCAATGACAGGCACGTTGGTCTGCAGGCTGGTCAGGCTGAAGAACTCAGCCCAGGGGATCCGCACCTGGTGGACATCAGGGCTCTGCCAGTGGTACAGGCGCCCCCAAGGGGGCAGCACCAGCACCCAGTCCCCCTGCTTGCGCAGGGTCTTCAGCAGAGACGCCATGCGGATGTACACATCACGCCGCAGGTTGAAGCCCTCTGGAGGGTTCACGTCATAAAGCAGATAGCTGCAGATAAACAGAACAGGGGGGTAGGGGGAGGAGAAGATTAAAGTAAAAAGCCTCACAATTTAAGCGTTTACTTTCATTTGTACAATATTTAATGACAGTCTTACTTGTATGCATTCTGCACAGACAGTTTAGCAAGACTCACACAAACACTGCATCACTAGAGTGTATGCAAGGTGATTACAGTCTTTAATAATCTTAAAGGTTTTCCAGATACATCAAAAATATCCAGTAAATTAAGTTCAGGTGATGGATTGAAAGGCCTGGAACTGGACTGTTTCCATACCAGCGTAACACAAACCATAGCAATGCTTTCTATAGGAAATCTTCTGTTACACTTTTGAGGACATTCTAACATTCATGAAAGCATTACAAAAAATAAATTTGGCTTTTTAGCAGTTAACAAATACTCTGGTATTGGATGTATTTGTATTTTCAAATTATAACATTTTCACTTCAGCTCAGGTACATTTGTGAGATAGAAATGTACTTTTTTTGTTATTGACTCCATTTATTTGTTAGCTACTTTCTGTTCTTTTATTCCGTTCTGTTGGTTCAGCTCTTGGATTGCTTTGCTGTAGCTCACTTATCTCACCCTTGAGCTTTAACATTGTTTTAGACCAAAGGGACCCCAAAAAGAAAAAAAAAAAAAAGTCTTACCACACTTTAGCTCCTATGCTGACAGATGCCGGATGTACAAAGTGGTCTCACTACAGCTCTGTGGGTCGATACTTAAATATCTAAGGTGACATGGTGATTATTTTTTAATAAGGCATGGACACAAATTAATATATTTATGTCATGAGGTACTATATTGAGGCCACAAGTTAGAAGAAAGTGAACTTGTGGCCTAAATGTATGAATCATTTATTGATTGACTGATTATATTAAAAAATAAAATTATATTATGCCTTATTAAAATTAATCACCATGACACCCTGCGGGCTCTGTAGATATCAGATACTTAAGTAGTGAGATCCACGTAGCATTGCGATGGAACTTCTTAGTACATCCAGTATCATATCAGATCATATAGAAGTCCACAAATTAATATTCTGATGTCATTAATTATTATACTGAGGCCAAGATTTTATATATTTTAAGGCCACAAATAAATATAAATAGATAAAAAATCAAAATAGTAATCTGTAGCCACACCTAATTGAAAAATAATCACCATGTCACCTTAGGGGCTCCGTAGGTATCAGATATTTAAGTTGTGAGTTCCACATAGAACTGCAGTGGATTTTCTTAGTATATCCAGCGTCATATTTGCAAAGAATATGAATGAATATATTGTGGCCATAAATTACTATACTGAGGCCACAAATTACTATACTGGGGCCACAAATATACATATATTAAAGCCACAAATAAATATGGCAGAGAATTAAGTTTCTCTTAACTCGTGGCCTCAATATATTAATTTGTACCCACACCTTATTAAAAAATAATCAACATGTCACCTCTCAGGTTGTTTTCGGTATCAGAGTAAGTTAAGTACCAGAGACAAATGGAGACGAACAGAGATGAACAGAGATAAACAGAGACGAGCAGAGATGAACAGAGATAAACAGAGACGAGCAGAGATGAACAGAGATAAACATATATAAACAGAGATAAAGAGACAAACAGAGACGAGCAGAGATGAACAGAGATAAACAGAGACGAGCAGAGAGGAACAGACGAACAGAGATGAACAGAGATGAACAGAGACGAGCAAAGATGAGCAGAGATGAACAGAGATAAACAGAGACGAGCAGAGATGAACTGAGATGAACTGAGATGAACTGAGACGAGCAGAGACGAGCAGAGACGAGCAGAGACGAGCAGAGACAAGCAGAGACAAGCAGAGATGAGCAGACGAGCAGAGACGAGCAGAGACGAGCAGAGAGGAACAGAGAGGAGCAGAGACGAACAGAGAGGAGCAGAGAGGAACAGAGAGGAGCAGAGAGGAGCAAAGAGGAACAGAGAGGAGCAGAGACGGACAGAGACGAGCAGAGAGGAGCAGAGAGGAGCAGAGAGGAACAGAGAGGAGCAAAGAGGAACAGAGAGGAGCAGAGACGAACAGAGAGGAGCAAAGAGGAACAGAGAGGAGCAGAGACGAACAGAGAGGAACAGAGAGGAACAGAGAGGAACAGAGAGGAACAGACGAACAGAGATGAGCAGAGATGAGCAGAGACGAACAGAGAGGAGCAGAGAGGAGCAGAGACGAACAGAGAGGAGCAGAGAGGAACAGAGAGGAACAGAGAGGAGCAGAGAGGAGCAGAGACGAACAGAGATGAACAGAGAGGAGCACAGACGAACAGAGAGGAACAGAGAGGAGCAGAGACGAACAGAGACGGACAGAGACAAGCAGAGAGGAGCAGAGAGAAGCAGAGAGGAACAGAGACGAGCAGAGAGGAGCAGAGACGAACAGAGAGGAGCACAGAGGAACAGAGAGGAGCAGAGAGGAGCAGAGACAAACAGAGAGGAACAGAGAGGAGCAGAGACGAACAGAGATAAACAGAGACGAGCAGAGAGGAGCAGAGACGAACAGAGAGGAGCAGAGACGAACAGAAACAAGCAGAGAGGAACAGAGAGGAGCAGAGACGAACAGAGAGGAGCAAAGAGGAACAGAGAGGAGCAAAGAGGAACAGAGATGAGCAGAGAGGAGCAGAGAGGAGCAGAGAGGAACAGAGAGGAGCAAAGAGGAACAGAGACGAGCAGAGACGAACAGAGAGGAGCGGAGACGAACAGAGAGGAGCAAAGAGGAACAGAGAGGAGCAGAGAGGAACAGAGAGGAGCAGAGAGGAACAGAGAGGAACAGAGAGGAGCAAAGAGGAACAGAGAGGAGCAGAGAGGAGCAGAGATGAACAGAGAGGAGCAAAGAGGAACAGAGAGGAGCAGAGAGGAACAGAGAGGAGCAGAGACAAACAGAGAGGAACAGAGAGGAGCACAGATGAACAGAGAGGAACAGAGAGGAGCAGAGACGAACAGAGATGGACAGAGACAAGCAGAGAGGAGCAGAGAGAAGCAGAGAGGAACAGAGACGAGCAGAGAGGAGCAGAGAGGAGCAGAGACGAACAGAGAGGAGCAAAGAGGAACAGAGAGGAGCAGAGAGGAGCAGAGACGAACAGAGAGGAACAGAGAGGAGCAGAGACGAACAGAGAGGAGCAGAGACGAGCAGAGACGAGCAGAGAGGAGCAGAGACGAACAGAGAGGAGCAGAGACGAACAGAAACAAGCAGAGAGGAACAGAGAGGAGCAGAGACGAACAGAGAGGAGCAGAGAGGAGCAGAGACGAACAGAGAGGAGCAGAGAGGAGCAGAGACGAACAGAGAGGAACAGAGAGGAACAGAGAGGAACAGAGAGGAGCAGAGACGAACAGAGAGGAGCAGAGACGAGCAGAGAGGAGCAGAGACGAACAGAGAGGAGCAGAGACGAGCAGAGAGGAACAGAGACAAACAGAGAGGAGCAGAGACAAGCAGAGAGGAGCAGAGAGGAACAGAGAGGAGCAGAGACGAACAGAGAGGAGCAGAGACGAGCAGAGAGGAGCAGAGAGGAACAGAGACAAACAGAGAGGAGCAGAGACAAGCAGAGAGGAACAGAGAGGAGCAGAGAGGAGCAGAGAGGAACAGAGACGAACAAAGAGGAGCAGAGAGGAACAGAAACGAGCAGAGAGGAGCAGAGACGAACAGAGACGAGCAGAGAGGAACAGAAAGGAGCAGAGACAGAGACGAGCAGAGCGGGTTGATGTTGGATCCTCTAAGCCGAGTTTTCATAAACCTACCGCACATCTCGAGCTGTCGCCGCTACCGGAGACGCTATCGGATTTCCAGCACGAAAGGCATCGTGCTCGGACCCCAGAGCGGAGACGGAGGAGAACAGTGCGGAATAAAACAGTAAAACATTCAAACTCAGCCCGGGCTGCTCCTGCTCCGCCATGACTTTAAGGACACGCACTTCCGGAGAGCGCGCGGCGCGTCCTCAGTTGCCAGGCAACCGTCGGCCGCCGATGACGTTGCTCTTTTCCCCATTTAATTCATTAGATGACTGTTTTTTTGATCAACTGATTTGCAATGACATTATATGTGATAATAACTTTACTGTTTAATAAAATGTTTAAAATACATTGTTTTAATAAATAAAGGGGTGAGGTGGGCAGCAGAGAACTCGTAGAGAGAATTCCAGATATAATCAGAGCCGGTTTATGAGGAGCCTGGCCGCTCCCTATTCCCCCCGTTATACCAAAAACAGGACTGCTAACCAGCAGAGGGCGCCCGCGAGCGAGTCCTCAATGAATGGGAGTAAATGGAGCTCAACGAACGAAAAGTTAAAATAGTTTCTAATCACTTTCCCAGAACGTTTCTTTAATTTTAGAAAGTAGAAGGATGGATTTCACTAAAAAAAAAGCAAAGAAATCTCACCTGTATGTTTCCTTTTTTTCTACAGCGAACGGGTTTGGGGCAGCAGGAGGCGGGCTTTACTGCCACTGAGTGCTGATTGGTTAGTATTACTGCTAGAGCGTGATGATTGATTGGCGAGCGGAGCAGCTCATTGGCTGTTCGCGCTCATTGACGTCACGGACATACATGAGGCGCCGTTTTAAACTCCTATAGCTCGAGTTTAAAAGCTCTTAAAAATATAACAGCGGTGTTAAAATGTTTTATGCTGTTCTGTGTTCAGGAACTGATCGCATTATTTTATATTAAAAATATTTAAACATTTATAAACTATGATTTAGCTCAAATGCTCCATATCAACCCATTCATTTTGGACTCGCTCGGGAGCGCCCTCTAGCGCCTGAAAAAGCCGGAAGACATTGCAGGGCGGCGATTCTCCTCTCTACAAGCTCTCTGAGCAGCACGGTCTCAGCCAGCGCTGTAACGGTAGGTGGCAGTAGCGAGGTTTCAGCTCGGAAATGCCCCTCTGTTATCTGTGGTGCCTCCGCCTATCAAAACAAGCCGAAGCTCGTTTCATGGAGAGCTCAGCGCTCATTTTGTGGAAACACAGTTACTGAGACGGTTTAAATCAGCGATGGCTTTGAGGGTCTTAAAGACTGCGCTGAGGTGAGCTGAGTTAACGCCTTTTCATTTGGCCGAAGTAAAATCCACTTAACTTCCCTTTGAAATTGGAGCAGAGGTGAAATCAGGATCAGGCATGATGCATCAAACCTTAGAGATCAATATCTACCCAGATGGGTTCATACGCTACATGTCCAGAAGTATCCAGACACCCCTTCTAATTTAAGGTGCACCCATTGCTGTGGTTCAACTGCGCGTAGAAAAGCACTGACCAACAGAATGGGATGCTCTGGAGTAGCCGCACATGAGCCTGAGGTCACCATGCCCAGTGCCAGGTGTCAGCTAGAGGGGTATAAAGCCCCCCTGCATTGGGCTGTGGAGCAGTGGAGCTGTGTTCTCTGCAGTGATGGAGCTCCATTTAGTACCTTTGGGATGAGCTGCCGTGATCCAGAACTGATCATCCAATATCAATACCTGACCTCACTAATGCTCTTTTGGCTGAATGCAATCAAATCCTCACAGCAGTGGTCTAACATCAGTAGAGTAGAGGCTGCTACTACAGAAAAAGTGGAACAAACTGTCTACAAACTTCTAGACATATGGTGTATATGGGCCGTTCTATCGAATTGGCTCAAACTGTAGTGCTAAAGTGAAAAACTAAAAATAAAATAAAATTAAGTGCTCAGATTTTATTATTCACAAGATGTTTGAATGATCCCAATGCAATAATTAAGACGGTAATAAGCTAAATATATGCAAAATCATCATTTCTAGGGTACTTTCTATTGGGAGATGTCTGCCCCAAAGCCTAATCCCTGTAGTTACTCTTGTGAAAGTAATACTTTTTAATACTTTTTTAAATATATTTTTTCCAGTTTGTTTTACAAATATATTTTTGATTTCTTTCAAAGTAACATTTTTTTTTATTTTAAACTCCTTCGGTAGGGTTCCAAAACGCACTTCATCATATTCTTAATAACTTTCATATTTCATAAGCTACATTCAAAAGGTGGGGGTCGTATGAGAGCTGTAACTGTCTTCTTTCCAGTCAAATAGATGCGTAATGTAATTTTAAATCCTTATAATAAAAGAAGCTGAACTCTGAATTTTTTTTTCCTACTGAAAGTCGACCCATTTTTCCACAAATCTGGGCTATAAACTATAAACAGATGGCGTCTCTTCAGTGATCTGCTCTGTAAAAATTATTTTTATAAAATAATACAAAGAGCGTCTAAGATTTTTGGCTTTCAGCAGTAAGTTGTAAGCATATAGCAATATGTTTGATCATAAAACACATTCTGTTAATTTGAGGGAACCTTTTACAAAAAAAAATTAAAAAATAAAAATGTATATTTATTTCATGCAGTTACTGAATAATTTGCCTTACGATTTGGTCATGTAAATTCAGATGGAAAAACCAAAATATACCCTGCAGAATAAGAGGTTAAATAAAAACTTATTTTAAAAATAGTGTCCTACATTTAATGTCGGTACTGAAACAAAGTTTTAGTCTGTAGGAGGAGCCTTAATTTAGCCATGTATTCGCCCCTGTATTTTAGAGCAGGAAGGGAGGCTGCAACACTGTCCCTTTTGGCCACGTGATGAGCAGTTAGATCCCATTGGTTTGAAATAAATTTGTCCCAAAGTCTAAATATTAGTGTGCAACATTTAAGAATGGTCACTACCATGACAGATGTTATGATTTTATGTTTGTACAGCTGTTCAAAGCTGTGTTTGCTAGTCATGTACTTGCTAACATTTTTGAGTTATTCTCAAAATAAGCTAAAATCATCACAGTTGCAGAGACATTATTATTTTATTGGTAGTTGGTAAAGAGGAGTGTTTTATCATTTATTTTAATAACATAGACATAATTCAGGTGTACCCTAAGACCATTCAAAGCAAAAGGATTTTATTCAGAAATCCAAGTCAGATAAAAGTCCAAATTGTGTTTTCAACTCTGACGTTGAACCAGTTTGGTAGACTGATCCATATAGTTAGCTTGTATCGGCTTGAACAGTTGCTGAAGTTATATCCCTCACATTTCCAGCAGGTTTGTTGATTATTTTTGTTTCTACAATGATACAGTTTGAATATCCATATCTTTATATACTTCTACTATACCATTTCTACTAGTAATGTACGCTTGATATGGTCAACACATCCAGCAAAGCAATGTTTACACTTCCATTTCACTTCACAATAAACTCCATCCAAAATCAGGATGGTGAACATTTGTTTAGAACTGCTTGACTGAAGTCCTGTGATTATTTTACACAATTACTACCAGCTTTCAGCTTTGACCAGAAATGAGCAGGAAACAAGAAAAACAGGATTTTAGTTTTAGAGTATGGATTGATACGTGCTCACCGAATAGTCTCTCATCGTACCCTTTAGAATCGTATCCTTTATTCTACTGTTATACTTTTAGAAGTGATGGATTAAAACTTGCAGAGAAAGTAACGTTCATTTTTCTCCTCCCATTTAGTCTAAGATCTCTCTGCAGATTGCAAAAGATGCAAGCACACTTGGTAAGTCCATGACTGCATGCAAAACACAATACTATAATTAATTCATATAATAATCCAGTAATATTGTTTCCGGTTGAACCTGATACTCTTTGCTTAAAGAATTTTGTCCACTTGATCAGATGTCCAGTAACGCAGGTGCAGAGGTTTTGTTGGAGAGAGTGGGGAATGCAGGTGTGATCACACTGAACAGGCCCAAAATTCTCAACGCACTGTCCTTCCCCATGATCAGACAAATCTACCCTCAGCTGAAGGTGAGAGGAGACCTTCACATCAGCTACCGTTTCTTATAGATCATTGAATACAGTGGTACCTATTCACAATTGAAACATTGTATAATGTATGAAGTTGTGTCAGGTTTACACCTGACCAGCCTTGGGGAGAAACATGAAGTGTCATTATTCCTTCAGCGTTAGTAAACATCAAAGTGAATCATTGGTTACACTGTGATTTTATGTATTTTTTACCATGGAGTCTATGTTTTTTGTTTAGAAATGGGAGAAAGATTCAGAGACAGATATTGTGATCATCAAGGGTGCTGGAGACAAAGCTTTCTGTGCCGGAGGGGACATTCGATGTACGTGAGTAAGAAAGCTTCAGACAGGATGTTCTTAGTGGTGAAATGTATAACGGATGATTTGAAAATTGAAGATTACATCAGTTTCTGTATAAATAATGACCATATTGTTTGAAATGAGAGACTAAAAGGTGGATTCCACTAATTTTTCAAAATTTCTGCCTAATTCAGTCATCAACATATGAACAATGTCATTCTGAGCGGTTTGAGTTAAAATGCTCTGCTCCAGAGAAACTTATCGAGTCAGAATTGTTCACATTGATGGTGACAGGAACCAAACTTCTGTTGAGTCTTACGCCTTTTTAAGCTCCTCACAGATAGGTTGGAAAATCGCCGCCTGATGCCTGAGACGTTGTTTTATAATAGTTTTGATTTGGCCTAAAATATATTTTGTAAAATGCATTCATGGCGGAGAGATACAAACGCAGTTCCAAAAAAGTTGGGACAGGTAAAATGTAAATTAAAAACAGAACGCAGTGATTTATAAATCTACCTTGACCTGTAAATAGACAGAGTACAAAGAAAAGATATGTAGTGTTTTACCTTTTAATTTTTTTGTAAATATACGCTCATTCTGAAATTGATGCCTACAACACATTCCAAAAAATTTGAGACAGGGCCAGTTTAACGCTAGGAATCTTAATTATGAAATGTTCAGAAAACCTCAGGCGGCATTGCATTAAAAAAATGGGAACTGTGATGGATATCTACATGAGCTTGAGAATATTTTAACAAACCGTTGTTAATAAACACCGTCCGTCGCTGCATCCACAAATGCAAGTTAAGACTGCTTTATGCACAGTGGAAGTCATATGTCAACGACGTCCAGAAACACTGCCGACTTCTCTGGGCTAAAGGTTATCTGAAGTGCACTCCTGCACATCCATCCATCCATCCATCATCTAAACCGCTTATCCTTCTGGGTCGCGGTAGGGTGCTGGAGCCTATCCCAGCTGTCATTGGGTGGAAGGCAGGATACACCCTGGACAGGTCGCCAGTCCGTCGCAGGGCCACTCTTGCACAGTGGAAACATAATGGACATCATGTTCTCTAGGCCAAAGTACTAAAGGACCATCCAGATTGTTACCAGTGTACAGTTCTGAAGTCAGGGGTCTGTCATGAAATGAGTGCATCAAAAACACCATTAACACTGAATGCATTTTGAAGCAACATACAGTACTGTGCTAAGTCTGCACTAAGCACATAAAACCCTTTATCTTAGCAATAAGTGTATTTTACCAGTGAAAACACCTTATATCATTAAAATAGATGCAAACAAATGTAAATACAAAAAAGTAATGGGCACATTCTTAGTTTGAAAGAAGTAGAATTTTTGAAATTTTGGAAACTCTGTGGAATCCCCCTTTAAAGATGGTGTCAATTTAACTGCTGATATTAGGAACATAGCCCAAGGAAAAATGGTACAAGCCGTCCTGGAACCACACATTTCCATAACATTGCATGAATTTCCTATTATTGTTTTAGTGAAGTAAGTAAGCAGATGCATTCAGTCAGAAGTATGTTCTTTTGAAACGTGTTGTCATGCACACTGAATGTGTTTAATGGCGTCTCTGCTTGTTTCTAGCTATCTCAGACGCTGGGAAAGTAGGAGATCCTTTAACACAAGACTTCTTCCGTGAGGAATACACTCTGAACAATGCCATAGGTACATTCAGACTCTGACCTGTTGGCTCCATATTCTGCTGATATCTGATTAGATCTGGTTATTTAATCCCTCTTTTGATTTTAGGTACCTTTAAGAAACCATACGTGGCCCTCATCAATGGAATTACAATGGGAGCTGTAAGTGTTTTATTAATATAGTTTTATTTATTTATTTATTTTTTACCCAGTATGCAGTCTTTGTCTTCACTGTTACCCTCCGCACTACTGATCAGGAGGGCAGGAGCTGCGTGTTCCTCCTGGCCACTGCATCTTTTCAGACCACTGACCTCTCAGAATTTTAAGCTGTCTGAATGTGCTCAGAGCAGAAACTCTGAGCAACCAGCAAGAGATGTCAAATGGTGGGTATGATGCTTGGTGATGGCAGAGAGGGGATTCTTGGTTCTTTTCCCTCTCAAAGTGAACTTGCGAATACAGGTGGCACGAAGCTCAGCTGATACTCAGATTGTACTCTGTGTTACACTCCTTTTTGGGCACTGTTCTAATTCTAGTTTGTATATAAGGCTGAGAAATCTGACTGTATTCATTATTGTGATATCGCATGATTTTCAGAGCTTATTGTGGATAGTATCAGTGCTTAAAAGAACCCTGACCAGCTGCATGGTTTATAACAAAGAGAACATAATTAGTCCTGCTAAATTGTATTTTGTGAAGTCCAGTTTGGGAAACAATTCATTACATTCATAGTTTTTGATAGTAATTTTTTTAAATTTTAGTACTGGTTCTGTCGTGTATTATGATGATTTAATTTTGCCATATCCGCCACCCCTCTAATGATAAATACATAACATGACAAAAAGTATGTTGACACCTGACCATCACACCATTCCAAAACCGTAGGCTTTTAAATGGAGTTGGAACGCCCCCTCCCTGGCATCTGCCAAATCCAGATTCATTCATCAAACTACCAGATTCATCACTCCTGAGAACACGTTTCTGCTGCCCCAGAATCCATGAGCGATGTGCTTTGCGCCGGTCCTGCTGTGAGTTTTCGAAGTCTCTTGACATGTAGATGAGCTGTCACTCTTCCTAGACGCTTCCATTTCACAATAATAGCACTTACAGTTGTTGGGGCAGATCTAGCAGGGCAGAAATTTCACAAACTGATTTGTGGCATCTTATCACAGTTCTACATTTTAAGCCACTGAGCTCTTCCGTATGACCCATTTTACTGCCAGTGTTTGTCTACAGAGATTGTAAGGCTATGTGCTTGATTTTCTGCACCTGTAAGAAATGAATGTGGCTGAAACACCAGAACTCAATAATTAGGAGAGGTGTCCACATACTTTTGGCCATATAGTGTATTTCTGAAAATAACATTTTCATGTTGTACCACTTTACTGCCACCAGATGGCTGTCGGAGCACAATATTGGAGTCTGCAGTCAAGCATCCTGAGGGATTTTAGGCTGGATTCTCATGTTTTTTGCTGCAGTTCGTCTCTTCTAATCCCTCTAGAACAAATCTCAGGGAAACTAAAAGGGAGTGCTCGGCCAGCTTATCTTAATGGCTTGCTTTGTAATGTTCTCACTTGAACAGAGATGTGGGTGTCCAGCTGGAGCCTTAGGCCATTTTTATTCATACTGATATGATATTGTTGCTGTATCTACAGCCCGTCTTGTTATCTGAACGGCACTTAGCAGGCTGTCCTATCAGTCTGAGTCTATGTATTTTCCCTGTTGTCTTTTTTTCCATCTTGTAGTAAGTCTTCTCCACTTTTAACTTGGGACGTAATATGCAGTACAAACTACACGTTTAATTGGCCTATAGATGTAGTTCTCTAACATCTGTATTTTAGTCTTTAAGTAATATAAAATCTTCTTTGTTGTTTATATTGCACTGTATGGTGACGTCCATGATGTGCCGTGACTCATAAACCCTCACTAATCCCTCAGATCTTAGACCTGCACTATGTAGATGATCCAGTAGGTGGAAGCAGTGAGCTACTTTCAGCAAAAACACTTCGGTTTGTTATGAATTAGACGCTCCGTGCCCTCTGATTGGTCGAACGACGTCAGCAGAACATGTTGCTGCCTATTTTTCTTTTTTTTTCTTTCTTTTTTCCCCTCAGGTCTCTCTGAGATTTGTGTGTAATTTGAACTGAAACATGACTTTGTCTTTAGCTCACCCACTACACACACTGTGCGTGCACTTTGGGTCAGTTTTGCTTTTCCTGTGTCATGTTTTTAACACGATAAATTACAGTCAAAGCAGTGTAATGGAAGACTCAGTCACGTTTCAGGTGAGGAGGCTACCCTAGTCTGACACATGCTCAACTTCAGACATGCTGCTGCTCAGATTTGTCATTGGTCCTGTGCTCCTTGTTGGTTTGCTGATGCTTCTCAAGGTCAAGGAGCGCTAGGCCGGGTGGGCCAGGCTTTGCTTGCCTAGCCAGGAGCTCAGGGCAAATAAGGATGTGGTACTCAGCATTAGGGATCGTTTCCAGAAGCTCCTGCTGCACAAACAGCTGCATGATTCCAACACTGTGTTTGAACTAATTACTAGAGGTGGCGCTAGTCAGATACCAGGTATCAGAATCAGGCCAATATCAGCAGAAACTGAGGATAGCAGAATGAATTTAGTCCTATTCTGTAACAAGTCTGTCCATAATAGCACTGTGTGTGGTGTAATGTTTTAGATGGGTAGATCTTCCTGTTGTGTGGTAGAGTGTTTGAGCATGAAAGCCTGCTTTTAGTTGAGAGAGCTGACGTTGAGATGATAATCTTAAGTGAATCACTTCAACTAAAAATAGCTCATTTTTAAAGAAATGGTTTGGTGAAAAATCAAATTTATGCAATTTTCCACTGACCACAGATATAATCAGCCAAACTGTTTGGTGTCCTTATTGTACATCATTAGTCGAGGGCTTGAGCTGGAAGTCATTATTTTTCCAGAACCTTTCTGTAAATACAACCCCAAAACTTCTCTCAATCCACTCAAAACACATCCAGGTCTTCATTAGAGTTAGAGTTGCTTGGATTGTGAGAAACAGAAAATGCAACCAACTTCTAAGACTGAGCTTTGGAGGTGTGGAAAAAATCCCTGCAGATTCCTTTAAAAAACTAAAAGCAAATCTCCCTGAAAGATGAAAGCTGTAATAGATGCAAAGAGTGGACACACTGAAGACTAAGCAATTTGATATTACATTTGGTTGTTGAGGCTTCTGCGTATGGCTGTTCAATGTGTGTGTCTTTTTTTCACTAGAAAAAAAAAATGAATAACTTGTATTTATTAGTCATTTTGACTGTAAATTAAATAAATAAATGGTGGTCTCTGACTTTTGCACAGTACTGTAGCTGTGTACACATCTGCCCTACCTGTTGCTGTACGTGGTGGGATTGTAAGAATGTGCTGGATGTTCTCTGCTATGTTTTAGGCATCACTGCAAATCCCAAAATAGTGCACTGCATAGTAAATAGGGCATGGTTTTGGACATTGCCAAGAACATCAAAAAAAGAGGCTCAACTGACCAGAAGCACTAACCAATGATGCAGGACAGAAGCCCTAATAACGGCAGCCTCTAACTGTCAGGTAACATATAAGCTAGTGTGTGTGACGTGGACACACTGGTGGGGTCATCAAGGCTGCTGTGAGCAGAAAAGTCTTTGTGATCTAAAACAGGCTTTATTGTTTACTGAAAAGGCATGAAAGAGAGTGAACCGAGCCTGGGTCAGGGGCTGCAGATGGTGGTCCGTTAGTGTCTTTATCCTGGGGTTCTGCTGAGAGATCAAGCTGATCTCAGGTCAGTGTGCTTTAAAGCGAAAATAGCCTTTTATACACACATTCAGGTGACCTTCAGCAGACTTCCAATCCAGATAACCTTTGTGTGTTTTTATATGCTACAGGACACAGACATTAAAGCGAAAGTTTATTGAAAAATCGAATGTATCCATTTGACCCCTTAGATCAATTATAGTAGATCCTCCAAGACACATTTGGTGTCCGAAGTCTGCTTTTTTTAGTTTGATGATGAAGCTAACAGGTGATTGGGAAAAAAGTAGTAGCAGCCAACTTGAAGTCTGAACTTTGTGCTTTTGTCCCTTTTTTTAATTAGTAACACGCTGCCAAAAAAAACATAAGCACATGTATTAGGCAACTTTTTTTCAAATTTAGTTTAAGCAGCTTCAACTAGCACAACTAATTTTAGCTCAGTAAAACTGGCTGGCTTATTCAGAGCACTGGCAGGGTAGTTACGTGTCTTTTAAAGGGGAAAATTTGTAACATTTTTACATAATTAAATATTTGAGATGTAAACAGAGTCACTCAGAGTGGTTTGATGTGAAGCAGTTAATTGTAGAGAGTATAAAATAGTAAAATCATGGTAAATTTAAAAAATAAGTTTTCTTTGGGGACTGTTTGACATTGCAACACCCTGCATGTACTTCTCTTTTAAAAAAAAATATGTTTTTCAGCCACAACCTTCTCTCAGAACTATTGTAAAGGCATCAGGCAGGGTATTCATAACAATTTCATGTAATAACTTTCTGTGAGGGAGCTTTTAGAGGTATTAAATGCTTCAGACGTCTGGTTCCTATCACCACCACTGTGAACAATTCTGACTCAGCAAGTTTCTCTAGAACAGAGCATTTCACATCAAACCACTCTGAATGCCTTTGTGTAAATCTTAACATTTAAATTCCATTTTTTGAAAAATGAGTGGAATTCTGTTTTTAAATGGTGATTCCTGTTCCTCTCTAAATAAAATAAGTTGTAGTTGTCATTCCCTGTACATTCTAATTGGTGCAGGTTTGTTTGCAGAGTAACAGAGTGAAGTTAGAAGTTTTCCAAGGAGTAATCAGTTAAGTAATCATTTCAGTTTGAGAAAAGTAGTGTCACGATTCGAGTTGGTGAGAATACGCTTCCATTGTTTGTTAGCTACATTATCCTTTCAGCTCCAAAGCAAAACTAAGGATGCAAACTTCAGACACGAAGCATGTCATGGCTGATCGACCATACTTAAAGATGGTTCTTTGAGAGTTCTTTAGTAAAGAAAATGGTTCTGTATAGAACCATGAATACTTAGCCTGGGATTAAAGAGTTCTTTGCATTGTGAAAGGCTCTTCTGATTGATGGGGAATGTGTTGTATATGATTCTATATAGAACCTTTTTGACAAGAGTTCT